TATGATTTATATATATAACTTGTAAATTTGTATATTAGGTTACGAGATTGGTAAAAGAAGGAACCGGGAAAACGACTTTAGCAATTGGAGATGGTGCAAACGATGTCGGAATGATTCAAGAAGCAGATATCGGAGTCGGAATCAGTGGTGTTGAAGGAATGCAGGTTTGTAATACGTATTAAAACTTAAAACGCTCTTTTTGACATAAATTGTTGCTTATTAAACTTTTTATTTTTATTTCAATTTTTTTGTAGGCCGTGATGGCTAGTGATTTTGCTATTGCACAATTTCGGTTTCTTGAAAGGCTTCTTGTTGTACATGGCCATTGGTGCTATAAGAGAATTGCTCAAATGGTACGAATTAATTAATCTCTCCTAATGTGGGCACTGTGCTCTTATGTCAGCCACCTAGTGGGCCAGGGGTTGTTGCTTTTGAGGAAATATTAATTGATTGATTTTAAATTTATTATATTGCAGATTTGCTATTTTTTCTACAAGAATATTGCTTTTGGGCTAACGCTATTCTACTTCGAGGCATTTACCGGGTTTTCGGGACAATCGGTTTATGATGATTGGTATATGTTATTATTCAATGTTGTTCTTACATCATTGCCAGTGATTTCACTTGGGGTTTTTGAACAAGATGTTTCTTCTGAGATCTGCTTACAGGTTAGATTTTTCTTAAATTTTATTATATATGTTATGTTGCAATTTTTCATTCCATGATGGAATGAGAACTAACAATTCCATTCCTTCCCTACTTATATTAACAAAATCCCACACAAGTGCAGTTTCCAGCATTATATCAACAAGGCCCAAGAAATCTCTTCTTCGACTGGTACAGAATCTTCGGGTGGATGGGCAACGGTCTCTACTGCTCCCTCATCGTATTCTTCCTCAACATCATAATCTTCTACGACCAAGCGTTCCGGGCAGACGGGCAGACCGCTGACATGGCAGTCATGGGGACCGTAATGTTCACATGTGTCATCTACTCTGTAAATTCCCAAATCGCCCTCACAATGAGCCACTTCACATGGATCCAACACTTCCTAATCCTTTTCAGCATCATTACATGGTACATCTTCCTCATACTATACGGCATGTTGTCTCCGGATCTTTCCGGAAACGTGTACAAGATCTTTCTAGAAGCTCTCGCACCCGCTCCCATTTATTGGCTTAGTATATTGTTAGTAGCGGTTGCGTGTAATTTGCCTTATTTGGCTCATATTTCGTTTCAAAGATCTTATAATCCAATGGATCATCATGTGATTCAAGAAATCAAGTATTATAAAAAAGACGTTGAAGATCGACATATGTGGCGAAGGGAGAAATCGAAAGCAAGGCAAGAAACAAAGATTGGGTTTTCGGCGAGAGTTGATGCTAAAATTAGACATTTGAGACAAAAGTTGCACAAGAAATCATCGGTGTCGACTCCTCGTGTGTCTTTATGAAATGTATATTTCAGGGGTTTATGGTTTACTGTGTTTTTAGATGTATACCAACGGCTCTTTATGTTTGGTTTCTTGGTTGTGTAATTATATAAGGAAAAATATATAGCAAGTATATTTTGTGTAGGTTGTTGTATGTACAATACTAACAAGGGTTCATGTGCACCCGATATAGATAGTGTGATATCAATCGACATGTCTTTCTGTGACCTATCAGTATAAGTATCGAGAGTTTTGGTAAGATTAAGATTTAAGAATAGATTTAAGGAATGTTTGATTTATGCAATGGGTTTGTATTTCATTTTCATAAATGAAGTATAAACTCATTAACCAAATGCCAAGTCACCTGGTATAAAATCATAAATTAAAAAATGTTGTTACTTCTTATAATCAATTTCTTACGGAGTCCATGGGTTGTCTGGTTTTCACTATTATATGTTATAGTTTTATATTATTTTGAAAATTACATGAAAAATATTTTTGTCTCTTGTTTATTGACAAAACATTGATGAATCATTAGAATAGCTCATGTACTTAGATAAACTGGATCTTGTACTTCATTTAGTTTGACGAGGATACGTATGATTTAAGTATATAAATATAGTTATAAACTGGATCTTGTACTTCATTTAGTTTGACGAGGATACGTATGATTTAAGTATATAAATATAGTTTAAATAAAATAAATGAACCTTATGGACATGTTTAGTTTATTTGCAATCATAAAAAAAATAAAAAATGTTTTATGTTTAAGTTCTAAAACAAGGTGACGTGCATATTTAAGTAATATGCTTTACTTAAGCTATCCGGTATGGTATTCCAAACCACGCGTGCCATCCTACATGGCTAGTCTTTCATAAGACACGTGAACACTATCCCAAACACCAGTGGTGGGTTGGCTGGCTGTGGAGGGTTGGCTGGCTGTGGAGTGGTCATGAAGACAGACAAAGACATCCAATGAGAATAAAGGTGGCAACGGTCACATATTTGACCGTTCTTTTCATTTTGTATCCATTGACATCAATAAAAAAAATTATTTAATTTTCAAATTTAAAAAACCTACAACTATAAATATAATCTATTTTCTATACATTTCACACTACAAAAAAAAAATTATTTTCTTATTTTTTTCTTCAACCTATGAATCCAAATCAAAATACCTCACACACTCCACAGACTTCAAATAATCCATATGCAAATCTTAGTTACATGTAATTGATAACATCTTCAATCCAACAATAATCTTTATTCACCAATCTATCATACCACACAAACTACTACCAACAACAACGACCACAATAATTCAATTAACCCCAATTTCAAGTCTTTCAACAATATTCTCAACAATTTCAACCCCAATCTTCTCGACCTCAACAACTTCAGGCACAGCCTTCACAACCATCTCAAGTCCCATTATCTCAATCACAACTTATAAACCTTGACAATGACAACAAGAAACACAACAACCATTTCGAATAAGGCAACAAAATGGAAAGGCTCAAAAAAAAAAAACTACGCAATGGAGCTAAGACGAGGAGGAAGCCTTAGCAAAAGCTTGGATTTTCATATCGCAAGACAGCAAGTTGGCAATGCACAATCAAGTCAAAGTTTTTGGAAACGTATTTTAAACCACTTTCACGCGCTATTATGAAAGGAAACGGACCGGACGTACGGCACAGTGAATGCAAAATGATGTGACTTACGAGTAGCTTGCACCAAATTTAACGGCATATTTGACGATAAATATGCACAAAAGTGGCAGCAACAATTTCAATATTTTATCAACCGCATATTACCAATACAAAATTACCAATAATGGTAAGCCATTTGGGAACAAAAAGCGTGGAAAGATTGTTAACCACCGGGAAGGGACAAAGCAAAAAAGGCAGCGTCTTCAGGCAAAAAAGTGAGTAGCGAAGACGTACTAGAGGAAAAGTTAGACATAACTCTAATTTTTCTAGAAAAAAAAATTGAATCAATAGAGGAAGCTCGTGTCCAAAAAATAACACTTACAGATCTACAAATCATAAACACAAAACCCCAACCGGATCTCAATCCGGAAAATCTAGCGACGTTTCTAAAAATCCAACAAGTCCGCGAAAAATATGGAAATTAGGATCTAACGTCTTAATATTTATGTTTTATTTGGTATGTTTTATGTTTTTTTAGTAATTTAGGTTTTAATTTTTTATGTTTTTTAAAAGTAATTTAGGATTTAAATTTGTGTGTTTTTAATTAATGTAAAATATTTATTTATGTTTTAAATTATGTTTTATATATATATATATATATATATATATATATGGAGTGGTAACCATTTTCAAGGGCTAATGGTTTAGTAGTGAAAGTGCACTGAAACTTCCAGTCTTCCACTAACGTGACAACACTTTTCTAGTGGGTTGATAGTAACCATACCCTTAACCTTACTATACATTGTGATTAACACCGTTTGTCTTGTTAATCGGTAATTCAAATAAAAAATTCCCTTTCATAAAATTGACATAACTTGTTAACAGAAAATGGCATTAGCAAGATCTGAAAATGTACTTACTAAAGAAAAAGTATAAACTAAAAACAAAAAAACAATTTCCCCCCTAAATGGTCAATAAAATGAATCCAATAGCAAAAAGTAAGCAAATCAGGTGAAACAGAAACTATGAAGTACTTCAAAAAGTTAACAGAAAATGGCATTGGCAAGATCTGAATATGACCTCAACTGAAACAGAAACTAGGAAGTACTTCAAAAATAATCCAACACTCAACCAAATACTTTAAAAGATAAAGAGTATAAGGGTACCCGATAAGCATGAGATTTAACAAAAAAAAAAGACTAAACACCCACGAAAACTTACATCAACCTCATTCAAAAGAAACCAATGATATAATTTACCAAGACTCAATTCCATGATATCGATTGACATGGACAACCAAAGCAAGAATCATATAAAAGAAGATTTTCTGTTAATGAATCAACACATGTCATCAAGTTCTAAAAACATACCCAATTACCATAAAAACATGATCTGAAATCACAATGTATATCAAAATGCAAACAAGTTTTCAGGATACCAAGTACCTTTCAACTCCTGTGAAAAATCAAGAAAACTGATTATGAAAAAGAAGTTCACCAGGCAAAACAGGAATTGATGATTCCATTCCAGAGATCCCACAACACTACAAGAGAACAAGCCCAAGTTCTGAAGGTCTCAGTGGTTGATTTAACCGATAATTGTACAGATAATAGTGCAATTGCCCATCACCAGGTCCAAACTTCAGCTCCTTCAAAATACTTTCATTTTCCATAACATCTAAAGCATTAAAAACATCATAACCCTTCTTCTTAGCCACAATAAGAGCATCATTCATCAACTGAAGCATTGGAGTTTTAGTAGACACATTGTAGTACGAATACGCAGCTTTCAAAGTTGAGTAATTCTGGTTTCCAAGAATCGTTGAAGGAAGTGTATAAAAACTACAGAAATCAGTCACATCACGTGTTTCACTACTTTCCACCAAAAAACTATCCACTACATCCTCTTTAGGAAGCAACCAATGTTCCACATCATTTTCATCAAAGTCAGGAGCAACTATGAATTGCTTCAAATATTCCCTAAGCAAACGGGTAACTGCAGGAACATCATGGAGCTCCATTTTTCTAAACCCGGGTGTGATTGGTGAATCTGGTAACTTGTAAAGCTTAATGGTTCTACTCATGGTCATTCTAGCACCAAGTCTTGAAAACCCAACATCAATTAGCTTTTTAGGGTTCAAAGATCTGTGCCAGTATTGACAAGTGGAAATAGGTGTAGGTAAAATCACACCAGCAGTATAAGCAGCTTGCCATATGTTTTCCATGTGAACTCTTCTTGTGACTTCTTTAATCATCACTGGGGCGAGTCTTTTTGATCTAAGTTTCTTATGAACACAGAGGAAATTGATTTCTGCCATGTTAACAACACTGTCTTTAGCTCTGATTTTAGCAGGAACTCCAGTTATGAAAGCTACTAACTTTTTTGATGACTTGACTCGAACCCCTATATGCCAACTTCTGTAATACCCTGGAGGACGAAGTGCCCATTGAAGGAAATCTTTTGAGTAGTTAAACCTGAACATGTTTTCATCATCTTCAACGTAGTTGTTAGCAAGGAGATTGTAAACTTCTGCACACATCTCTTTTGTATCCATGTCACATGTGATCCATTCGTATGGACCTGGGAGATTATAGGGTTCTTGTTTAACTTCTGATAATGGTGTTGGAGGCTCAATTGCGCCTTCTGGTAGGGTTGAGTTTCCAACGTCTTTGAACTGTCCGACTGGTTGAGTTTCCCAAAACTTATGCCTCTTGGAAAGAGTTAGAGACTCCTGAACCTTTTGTGCTATTGCATCAATGGATGCATCGTTCTGGTTGGTTGTAGGGTTTATAGATTCATTAGAGTTGTGGTTTTGGTTTTCAGCAGGTGAATTGGAATTCCCATTGTTATCCGCCATCTCAATTCTCACTAAACCACCAAATAACTGTAAATTTAACTCAAAATTAGGTCAATCAAGAACAGTAAGAGGATACCTTATAAAGATAATCGCGAATCCATTTCGCAGAATCTTTAGTATGTTAATAGAAGTAGAAAATAATCTTCGATTGAAAAAGGAAAACATAAACTACCATACAGAAATATAATCACGTAATTTAACAGCAATCGAGTAAAGAATATTTGTAAATCGAAACTAGCAACACGAATATTGAAATCTACGCAAACTCGGCCGGTAATTAATAGATGGATATGAGGCGAAGATTTACCTCCGATCTTGATTCGTAGATGGTGAAGAAGGATCGCCGGAGCAGCGAGTGAGAAAGATCTAGGTTGTTGGGATCATGTTACGATTGATATAGGGAAAATAGGGAAAGATATATCAGCATCGGACTACACAAAGTTATTGTTGAAGCCTTGAAGGGAAGAAAGAGTGAAAGTAGCAAAACCGTCTGCCTGGAAATAGTTTTTCCTATCACATATAAAAATTGAAAACAAAATCACACAAATAGTCTAAACCTTATAAAAAGTCACAACTCGTTAAAATTTGCATTTTCCTTATATGGTTTTCCTCAAGGTTCTATTTTGTTACAAGATTGATTCTTCCTATTACCAGAATTAGAAATTAGGAGTTAACTACTTATAAGATGACAAATTTACGGATGTTGAGTTTTTTATCGTTTTTTTTTCTCGTTTTGTTACACCTTAAGAACACACTGTCGTGTCAACCTCACCCACAAACCCCTTGCCTCCCATCTCCAAAGTTGGCAGCCACCCTCCTCCACCTCTCTCCATCATCTCCTATTCGCCCTTACAGCCGTCTCTCTTCACCCTAAAGTCACCACAAGAGACATCCCCTAACACCACCTTATGTCGTTGGCACCACTCATACCCTCTCTCAGTGTTATCTTGTCTCCATTCAACCACCATACACAACCATTTCATTTGTAGATTCAAGCTTCTATCTAGCCTAATAGATATGTTTGTAGATTTGGTTGTCGATATCCCTTTGCGTGAGTGGTTTGGATTTTGATTTTGTGCTAAAAATCGGGGAAATGATTTACCCATTAGAAATCACAGTCTTACATTCTCCATGCATTTTTAGACTCCATAAATTCATGAGGTTTTTACCTCTACTTAACATGCCTTATTCAAATATTAACTTACCTTCTATTCGAATAGCGATCAAAACGGTTTAATTTTCCAATGTTGAGGATCTAAAGGGGGAAGATAACACACATTTATATTTTTTCCATTTTAATCCTGATCGGAATCCCCAAAGGCGTCTAAATGGAAAGTTTGAGGAGTTACTGTTTGAGCTCCGTATTGTGGAATACAACATAAGGGTTTTTTTTGTGTGGATGCCAAAGTTATTGCATACAGAAGGTTTTAGGAAATAGAAGAAATATGGAAGATAGAAATGTTTGGAACTTAGTTTGCGGACTATTTTCTTAGCAAAGACAAGTTCATCCGAAATGTTTGTAATTACATTTGAGAACTCATTGGATTTTCGAAACTCTTATCTTGGAGAACACGTTGACATTGTAGTCAAATGTTCTGTCAGAAGGGTCTATTGGGTTGGATATGAATCCTACATCATTTAGGTCAACTCCCCTATAAATATCTCATTTATTTTTACCCTAAAATAGAGAGAGAG